GTCTAGAAAATTCTAACATAATACGGACTACTTCTTACAAGATTACAACGAAATAACAAAATCAATTCTGTAACAGAAACTGAGGTTTCGTGAATATTCCCTTTTTCGGTACTCCCTGTAAATTGTTAAAAATACGGTATATTATGACAAAAATGATCTCTTTGATGCAATGTAACTAGACAAAACGTTCTACCGGAAACCACCCCTGAATTTGATGAGCAAGACTTCGAAACGTGTTTACAAACAGAAAAAAAAAGAACACATATAATATATCCCAATACTTCCTCGCCTCGTTCAGAATCTTAAACACTTTTAAAATTCTATAGTTCGTTAGCTCTATACAATTCCGAAATGTTCTGTCGTGATTCGTTTTAATTAAAACTTTATAAAACATAATATTATTATCACGTAACTAAAGCTGATGTTACCTTATAGATTCTTATTATACGGCATGATCTCACATCTACAATATGTTATTAAACTTTTAATTTTTTTTTTTTTTTTGAAGTTCTGCGATTTATGCGTATAACATTATAGAGGCAACACTGAACACACAGTAAGTGCTTTAAAAATAATAGATACCTGCATACTCAATAATATTGAAGTATCAGATTATATTATTATATCGTATATGGTAAAGTACTACAGTCATATTATTGCGTGACACACGTATAAAATACATAAAAAATAATCGATTGGAAATATTGACGATAGTTTGTTGCCAGACATTCGACACGAAGGTGATATGACATACATCACTCACACTATTATAAAAAAAAAAAAAAAAAACCCAAAAATGATATTACTATGAGATAAAAGTTGAAGTCAAATCCATAGTATGAAAAATAAGAGAAAAAACTATTTATTTTCTTATATAAGAGAACGTCACAACCTAGCGAGAATTATTTGTATCTGTCAAAGTGTCTGACGTACACGCGCCATCATCTTCATATTATGATCACGATAATATTTGTTTTTGCGTTCCGAAATTATTATTTAGGTTGTTGGTGGATTTTCAGTATCTACCTATATAATATCGGCTACATTACGCGCACATTTAACAAGAATCGCGTCACGAAAACCTGTGTTCTTGGCGTTGATTTGTTTACATACAATTTGACGAGCGCGTAACAAACATTCAAAACTAAAAACTTAATTATTTAGACACCGGCAGCGTATAAAGTTTGGTCTACACGATTATATAGTTACTACCGCGATAGTCGCTGCTACGATATTACAAGATAGTTAACTATCACAAACAAGTATAAAGAAAAGCGTTTACGTAATTATATAGTACATATAGGCTATATCGAAATTCATCGCGTACTATATAGAGTGAATTTAGAAAGAATTTTTAAATTTAAATAGAAACTAACTGAAAAAAAAAAATGTCTCTGAAATTTCCGCCACGACAATAAAATAGAACGATAGTACGTGTACACACAGTGATAGCAACTATCACTCTCAAGTCCTCAAGATAATAATAGTAACTAATATAACTATCAAGTATCATGCACTATAGCATTCACGATGGTTCAATACTTACCATCATTCTGTAAGTTACTATCACGGTAGTAAATATTAATTAAATTAAAAATACAACAAAAAAGGTCTCTTTCTGTGTCGTTTTCTATTGGAATAGTATTTCTAGTAGATAGCATAAGTTGAAAAAAATAAAATAATTAAACCGGGACGCCGCGCCGTTGATGAAAATAATAATGAATTTAAATTGTTTGTTTTTTCCCAATTACTATTAAAACTACTTTGAATATCAAAAAACGACCAAAAAATGACCCTCTAAAAACTTTACGTTCCTAATCTAAAAACAAAATATACGAACATACTTCGCACGATGGGTAAGCCACTGTTGTAGGAGAGAAGTCAAGAAAGTAGGATATATAGAAGGGAATTTAATATATATTTGCTAACAAAAAGCGATTCTAAACGGAGTATGTTTGTACATGTTTTAAAAGACCGTAATATTTACGATTTGAAAATACATTGTAATCAATTTTGTACATTTGCCCGTTTTTCCTACATTTTTTCGATTTTTCCCATTTATTATCAAAACCCCTTGGAAAATCAACCGAATTACCTCTTTAAAGTACCTCTCCAGTCAGATTTCCTTTCAGAAAAAGTGCTATACTTGAAAATCGGAACAAAATTACTGGTAGAAAAGTTGTCCACAGAAAAAATATAATGTAAACATCATAACAAAACAAACTTAATCTAACTAAAAACTAACCGTCCGACGTAAACGACAAAACCAGAGTTTACTTGACGTGCGCCACATTGCAGATAACAGATTATGACGTGTACCTACGTTCTCTTAAATATATTCATACTCGCATACTTTCTTTTGCAATGTTAGGCGAACTACCTGCAATAATAATATGCAGATGCGTAAACATAATAACATTTTGCGTTCGTGTCCAGCGAATATATTATATTATAATAATTGTAATAAATAATGGTTAAACGCATATTATTATAGTTTTTTTTTTTTTCATAACGCATAATTCAAAGTTTTTTTCGGATTATACACTACCCGATGATAATATAAACTAAACAAATTATACAATGAAACCTCTCTTATTTAAAATATCTTATATACGTCGCTATTACCGAGTGATCTATTTAAGTAGGTACACTTATTATCTCGGAAAGTAATCAAAAATGTCAACACTCAAATTTATTTTAACTAATACTCCATCTGTTTATAAACTTTTTAATATAGGTTGCCATTTGAAAATCATAAATGTAGTGGTTTTACCTCAATAAATAAGGGTTACAAAAAATTATATAAATATAAAATTGTAGAGCTGATTGTTTCTAAAATGCTCTAGAAAATAAATTCCGAAAAATGTTAATACATTTCTAGATAATGAGTGTACCCAATTAAATGGATCACCTGGTATACCGTGTTGGCCAATAACCAGAGTTTTCTTTTTTATCCTATTGGAAAATTGTATAGTCTTAGCCTTATTATAATGTATATATTAGCTATTCGATTTCTTAGTCTACTTGCTATGCATCGTTCCTTATTACAAATACCATAATGACCGTTTGAGATAATTTTTGTAGCATTTCAGGATTGAAAACTCGATTTTTATTGGTACGGTTAAAATTAAGACTCGAGATTTATTACACTTGAAATCCAAAAAAAAAAAAAACAGTGCTTATAAATGTCAAAAAAAGGTCTGAAAAAAAGAACTTGAAAAATATTTAAAAATAGCAAAAACGGTAGAAAGGTTTAAATGTCCCTCTTCTAACGACTCTGACGTATTAAATACAATTTTCTAACGCTACACATGCTATTAATAATTCAAAGTTATTTTAGATTTTGAGTGAAACGAAGAAGCTTGTGGTTTTACAAAGATGTTTTTTTTTTATCTGTTTACAACTTTTCTACCAGAAGACTTGCTCGGATATGAAAAAGTAAAAACTGTTCATAAATAACATACTATTCATACTGTATTACTCTTTATTTTAGATACTTATAGTATATATACACACACACACACACACATATGTATATATATAAATTAATTATTAAAATTTGTCAATAAAAAATAAAACACTGTTTTTATTAATATCAATATCACCGTTATGTACATTCATTGTTTCATATTTGGGAAAACGTTATTACACTGTGTGGATATACCGTCTTTCGGTCGGTGGGCTGTCCTTAGACGGTGATTGGGGGGTGCATAGGGGGTGCTTAGCCCCCTCCCCCCAAACGAATCGAAAGCCTCTCCAAAAGTATTAAACATTTTTCATAGTATAAAACATTAAAACAGGTACTTATTTCACAACAATTGCCAAAATCTTGGAACATTGCAAAATATATTTTTTCCCGAAATATTGTTAAATGTCAATACAACAATTATTATACCGTAATGTTATATTTATACCTGATCGTCATCGGTGCGCACCGGCTGACCGTCGCGACGGATTGTTATCGCATTATCGCAACGGCAAAAATAGAAATTTCCGATAATCAGACTTTGATTGAACATTATTAACGTGCCGAATGGTCCGAACTCCGATTGCCGTTTCGTCATTCGTGTAACGTTGTTCACGGTCGCAAATCCGAAATCGTCGTAATTTCGGTCGAAACGTCGAGTATAATATCATAATGTCAGTGTCACCTACACGTGTCACACACTCGCACTGTACTTTTCGTTGTTGTTACATAATATATTTGTATTTTGTAAAACTGTGCAATGTGTATTTACAGTAACCCGTAGTGTTTCCGTAATTGCATAAGTGTTTTTATTTATTTATTGAAATGTCGGATTTTTTTTTTTTTTGAATTATTTAATACGATATCTAAATTATATCCCGAATTTGCCCGAAAATATAAAGAGAAAACAAATTATACCAGCCGCGGAGTTCAAGATGACCTTATTAATATCTGTCGTTTTATTTTCGACGTTTTTAAACGCTTTTTTTTTTTGGTGAATTTTAAAGGAAATTCCAAGTCCCGAGCCCCAATAATAATAATATTGTCGGGTAACGCGATCGGTTTTGCTTTTCGCGACGGTTACGCTCGGGTTTACAATTGTCATTACTACATAGGTATGTTGTGCGCGTATAATCTTCAATCGGCGTGCGATTAAACATGAACATTTTAACGAAAATCGCGGTATAGTGTAAGCTAGGAATAACAAACCAGTGCAAATAAAAACGCGCGCAGTTTGTACCCGAACAACGGTCCGGTACGCGGCATCTATCGAGAATACCTGACCCAGCGGTTCCAAACCTTTCTCAGCCTCGGAGCTTTTTTAAAAAAAAAAAGTTCTCGTGGAGCCCCCATAAAATATTTAACGTTAATTTTTATCTGCCTGCGTTCTATCTTCTATGAAGTATAATAAACACGAATTGTATATATACAAGAGTCAAAATAAAATTATACTTTTGAATACAGGTGAAACAATAACAATAAAAGAACTGCAAAAAATATTATTTATTATTTAAATTTAAATTTACAAAATGTCTTAATGTGAGCATTGGGCCTGCTTTTTACTACTGAGTTTGTCGATGTCCGGTGTCACAGAAGTCAATTGAAGACGCTTATCGTTTTTTGCATCCAAACGTGCTCGATATTTTGTTTTTGTAGCTGTGTACCTCGAAAAAGCCGTTTCACAAAGATACGTAGTACCAAAAGGCAGTAAAAGCAGTTTAGCTTTTGAACTTAATACTGAATGATCTTCCCCTAATTGAGCCCAAAATTCAGATATTGGTTTGCTTTTAAATAATGTCTGATAGCAGCTATCCGAAACCATATCAATAAGAACCTCGTATTCTGCTGCATTGAGAGTTGCTGGTTTTGACGTCAATAAAAATGGATTTATGATCCACTCATAGTTTTATCGAATTGNATTGCTAAATTGATTTCTTGTAAAAAGTTTGACGTTTTTTGCTTCCTTGTGCAATTGTTTATTTCTCATGAACCAAGGGGCCTTTAGGGCTATTCTTAGGAATTTGTTTTGGAGGGTTTGTAATTTTTTAATTTTTGTTTTGGAGGCAGATGCCCATACTGGGCATGCATAGGTTACTAAAGGTCTTATTATTGCTGTGTAAAGGAATAGAGAGCATTTCATTTGTATGGTAGAGCTATGATTTAATAGGGGGTACAGTATTCGTAGCCTAGTGTATCCTTGGTTTAATTTTTTGTTGATGTGTATTTTCCAGCTTAGTTTTTCGTCAAGGTGCAGGCCCAAATATTTTACTGTGTCGTCTTTGTTATTCCAGTTGATAATAAAATAATTGAATCAAACAAAAAATACACGTCCGTTGTTCATAAATATGCTCAATAAAATCATAAAAGAGTAAATTAATCGATGAAAGAATAATGTAATTTGAGAATCAAACCTAAATTAAATGGCGAAACGTGGTAAACAAAATAATGCATTTTCTATAAATATTCCTATAACATAATAAACAACAGACCGAGTCCTCGGGGTCGTTTCAATTTATCATCGTTTCGTATTATCTAAAATTCTAAAAAATTAGATAATTGTATACAATTTTCTTATCGGTATTTTACTCAGTATACGTATCGGTGAATTATGGCATTCAAGTCTTCGTGAAATATATATTCATTTTAAATAACGAACAATTTTTAGAATTTGTTGCGGTGTCACGAACGGAGCCCTTGGTAAGCGATTGCGGAGCGCCGAGGGCTCCGCGGAGCGCCGGTCGGGAACCGCTGACCCAACCAAACCAATACGGCGCGTTACGGTTTTCGCACGAACGCACAATACGTAAACGACCCGTTCACGGCATTTGAGCGAATTTAAGCAGCCGCACGGCGAAACGTTGTGAACGACGTTAATAACGGCCGTCCGGCTCTGCGGCTCGCGGAATCGAAATGCGTCTGCGCCGACACAAACGCGACATTGCGATGGGAAAAGTTCCCCGAAACGCTGCGGTAATTCAAATTTATCGGCGCTTTTGAATTCCCGCCGTAAAACCGCGGACTTATATTTGGCCGGCAGTCACTGCTACCACTGCCGTTACATTATTATGCACGCGTACCCGTCGTTACCCCGCGGAGATAACGCCCGATAGTACCCATTAGTGTCCGTTTATTCGTTTCCCGTCTAGTGCGCCGCGCCGCGTACGTTTTACTTGATTTATCCGGGCATATTACAGGTGTGCGTATATACTTACGAACCACTTAATCCGGAACGCTATAATTTTTACGCGCGCCATCTATGTTATTACGGTATACGCATTATATATATCACGTGTTATTTCCGACCGCTTCTTGAAAATAATACGATTCCAGGTGCCTATACGCCGATAAGTACTACCTCTCGCGTTAAAATTAGTAGAGCATTTCCAATCGTCGGTGAATCAATTTCGATAGAATCATAGAGCGTCCGCACAACTGAAATAACGTTTATTCGATATTTTTTATTATTTTTTTTTTTTCACACTGGGATCTTAAAACAATTTAAACTTTATGACACTTTAAACCGTCAGACGGTCAAAACTTTTATTCGAGTACTGTCTATGGTAACTATTATCTACGATTTTTTTCTAACGTTTTCTAACGATTTTAGACAATCAACGACCATACACCCAAATACAAGTTTTAACCACCCGCAAACACGTTCTAAACATCCATTTTAGAAAATGCCCATTTCAATATTGTTTTCAAGTATGGTTAAATTTTAAGTTCGTCCAACCAAAATAAAAAATCTCGATAATATTTTTACGCTTAAAATACGAGCAGAACTAAAGTTATTTCGGGTATCCTACGTGTTTTACAAAAATTGCTCGGATTATTCATAAACTATTACGGAATCAGTACCAATATAATTACCGTTGTATGGTAAAATAAAGAATTTTAGCGAAAACGGCACTTCGCACACGTTAAATTGCGAGTCGTTTTATATTTTTAAACTCGTCCGCGTGTAACTTATAATTTTTAAACGGTAAAAATAAATTTTTTTCGCAGGTTCGAACGTTGCTGGTTCGTTAAAAAAATTGAACCGCCGCGCTGTGAAAATCTAAACGAAAATGTACCGCGGCCTGAGATTATATACGCATAAGCTAATATGTTTCGTTATTATTATTTAAGTACCTGCATTATTATAACTTTATTATTATAGTTTAGCATTTATACGATTGGATCGACCTTCTATACAAATCTTGGCAATTTATTGGTGAAAGTCCTTTTCGAAACCAGTCTTGTGCGTACACCTGCCGTCTGCTGACTGCACCAATTGCCAGGTGTATAGTCGGGATTGTTAAGATTTGTTTTCACGAGACCTTGTATATAATATAAACACAACACATTTTGTATTATTTTTTTTTTCGTCTAACAACCACCGCATTTATGAATTTCGTTTTTTATCGGCGCGCGGGTATAACTCGTACAATATACACATTATACCTGCTGCCTATGATATATTATGAAACAAGTGAAGCCATAATTATTATTTTTAATACGCTCGCCTATTTGTACGTTTGTTTATTTTTAAATTTTAATTTGCCGTTGGACATCATCGCGCTAAGAATGTACCCACGAATTATACAAATATTGTTTCGAATTATACGCTGTGTGTATGCAACAACGCAAAACAGGCTGTGTTCGTGATACGGACAAATTATTAGCAGTATTATGCGTTTATAAAAATGTTTGTTTTTACGATAACGTGAGTCCTGTTAGTCTATTGACATCGAAATTATATACGCTGGACGACGAAATACGTATATTATGAAACCCGTCGGTTTCGGAACGGAAAAACGTTCTGTATATATTACGGACGTTTCGAAGTCGGCAATAGGCAATTTAGAGAACGTTCATTACGAAAGGCGAACGCGTAGGTACGCGATTAATTAACGATTCGAATGAATAATTGATTGTAAAAGAAATTTTCAAAAAAAAAAATCCATACGGTTGCATATTTTTTTTTTTTTAAGTTTAAATAATTTGTGAAAACTCGCGAATGAACAACCGTTTTGTTTTTTAAATCGATAATAAGTATCTATAGATAACAAAATGTAAACCTACACCGATAACTGGACAATTTAGATACATTTTGAAATCTGTTTTTAAAACAAATGGACAAAACCAGGGAAAAACACGGAAAAAAATGTAGAAAATACGGGGAAATAAACAAATATTATTAAAGAAAATATATAATGCGTATGCAATTATTTTATTTTATTTTTTTATGACATACATATTGTTGACAAAACAACACTATTAACCGGACTCCGTTCAGAATCGTTTTTTGTTGGCAATATTCAATGGTTAATATTATATTCGTTGCATATTATTGTTGAACAAATGATTTAAATATTACGTATACTACCGACACCTAATGCTGGTCTTAAATGTTCTCTCGGCATGCGTAAAGTTGTTACAAAATAACGCTCAGTGAAAAAGTAGAGCGCAGAATTAATCCCCCGGAAAAAAGAGTAAACAAAAAAATAATTTTAAACATAATTTTTAATTTTTGTTTATTTTTTAATGTCGATTTATCTTATGTAACCTCCGTGATTCCATGGGATTACGCTGGTCAAGGTCGTATCTGAGGGGGGGTTTCGGGGATTTAATCTTTCCTCCCCTGAAATTGGTTCGTATTTTATTATGTTGTGGGAAAATAACTGTTTCAATCAATAAAATTTGAACACCACAGATGTTTACAACCGATCCCCCGATTCTCTTGAAATTGTTTTCCAGTTATGGCCTTGACGCTGATTGATGTATAGCAAAAGGTAATCTAATTGGAAAACGTCTCCATATAATTGCAAAAATACGAGCAATTATCTTCAAAAATACTTTTGAAAATAGAATTCGGCGGTTGATTTTTAGTCCAAAGTTTGACAACCGTTTTAGAAATTGGTTTAGATTAGAATTAGGCGGTAAGAATTCAAATAGGAATGGCCCCGATTACAAGCTTTATAACGGCTCAGGCGCGAAATGTGCAGAAATGACAAAAACGCCATTGAAACAGTTACAAACTAGAAATGACCATAAACTAGTAAAGAAGAGACCTCGAGAGAGGTTCGGGAAAAGATAGTCGGGTGTGGTTTTGAAAGGTATTTTAGAGGGGTCGACAGTGCACGATTGGAAAAATATTGTCTAGGATCAAGAGAATGTTGGTGGCGAGAATTCACGGAGTTATACAAGCCGAAGAAGAATAGTGAAAATGTTTTTTTCCAGTTGTATTACCTAAAACATTAACACTAGTAATTTCGTTCCAACAGCAAACCAACGAAAGTTCACATATTATTTTACTCGCTCCTCCGATAACGAATTTAAAGATCTAACGAAAACACATCATGTTTACTACCATGTTATAAATTCGTGTTTACATAGGGTTCAACGAATTGCTGTATGCTAATCCATTCGAAGTATATTAATATTATTATACCAGTTATAGTGTACCGGAAAATAATAGCGTCTCGTCGCATCATTTTATTGTTGGTACACATTAACATAATGTATACAGGCAGTTTTATATTTTCCGAGTAGGGATCATTAAAACGAGGTATACGTGATGCACCACAAAGATCACACATTTTTTGAAAAAAACACTCCAACGATCTCTACTCAGACTTGTTCGATTTTGTCGGTAGTATAAGTGTATAAGTAATTTACACTTATAAGTAACTTATAAGTGTAAAAATGTATTTATTTTTTCATTATTATATGCGTATTTAACGTACTATTTTGGCGAACTCGTGGAGTTGGAAGAAAAAAGGGGTTTAAAATATGAAATAATATTATTGGATTACATAATAATATGTTCAAATATAATTTGTTGGACTGTTTTTATATGATTTTGGAACTTGAAATCGCAAAAATGAAATAATTTCGTGTCTTTACGCGTAAACTGTGTGTTTCCACAGAAACTCGTGGTTTTGAAGTAAAAGTCTCGGAAATCTAAAAAAAAAAAATCTAAATCTAAAATCGGCAACATTTAAATCATAATGAATTTATCAAATATGGAGGACGGTTGAACTGATATACATTTATATGTCAATGAAAATAAAAGTCGATTTTAAAATGTTTATTCGGATTATCATAGATATAATTTCATTATATACATTTGCATTATAAAACTAACGCGGAAAATATTTTTAGATTCTGAGTGTAGCGGAAAATGCATTGCTTTTACAAAGGTGTTTATTTTTTATTTTTTTTTTATTTTTACTCAAGTATGTTATACTATGATTGATATACTGGATAAAAAATGTACCGGACACAAAACCCGTGCAGAAC